TGCCAGTCATGAACTATGCCAAAGAAAAAACAATAAAGCAATATACTTCAAAGGTCCACCCATGAAAAGCATTTTTGAGCTAGGTGCGATCAACAGACATAAATATCGTCTGCTGGATGTAGCCTTATTCACCTTGGTATCCAATATAGTTTTGCATTTTTTTAAGATTTGATTTTGGACTTTTCCCCTTTATTTTTACATCTCCGCTGCGAAAATGCTGACTTGCTTTGCTCTGTTGTTTCCTTTTTTAATATCAACCTTTCATTCGTGTGGTCTTGTTCAGATAAATACACAAAAACCTCAAGTTTACGAACAAATGGAGCAAATGCTATTAATTCAAAAAGCTTTACCATTCGCATTAAAAAGAAGAACAAACAAAAAAACACTTGTTTTTTTTTTCTTTTTCAGGCTGGAAAAAGTTTTGTCTTGAATTAAGTTTGTTTGCTGGACAAACAAAATGTTGCGCAGTGCTTCAGTGCAGGTGAGATTAAGCCTTCTTTATTCTGATATACTGGTTGTCAAATGTTTTTCCTCTTATAAGTACCTTAAACTTAGGTTTGATCTGCAACGACCATCATTATGTCATACAACAAAACACGCCTTTTCTCTAGAAAATAGTTTGCAGTGGCGAAGCAGCTGCTTATAATTTGGATCCTGCACAAGATGTTTTTGCTTCCACAGCCATGCATCTCATGTTTGAAGTATACATGTTGTATATTGTTGTAGATTAAAACCAAGCAGGTTAATCCTTGCTCTAAGATTCATTTATAAATGCACTGCTCAACTGCTCTGTGGGGAAAAAAACAACTTCAGTAAACAGATTATTAGTAATTGTTTTAATTTGGGTTATTGACAACTGTAAGAACAATATTAGAGGCTTGGTACAAGCATAATCAGGAATAAATATTTTCATTCATATGATACTAATGAGATGGCCGTGCTTTTCTGAGTTTTAACTGTCCGGCTAAATAAAGGACGGCTTTAGTCTGAGATCATCTTTTAGGTCTTTTCTGCTTCTTTGTTTACATTCAATCAAGACGAGAGATGAGTCACCTTTCCCGCATAGATATGTTATTGTAAAAAGCAACAGAAGGTGAACAGCTTTTGCGGAAAGGACTGGGTACTCGCTTTGTCCCTCATCCAGGAGTCCAACAGGGTTTGTCTGCTCACCGCTTTCAGAAGTGATAGCTGCTGAGAGCTCGCTGCTCAAGCTGTGAGCTGAAGACAGAAACTCCAGAGGGATCGGTGCTTTCACATGTTGTCATTAAAGTTCCAAACAACACAGAAAAAACATACTAGGTTTGCTTCTAGTTCGATTTTTTTTTAATCTTACGGTAGTGAAGGTTAGCCAAATTAGATCACCACACCTTACAATATATATTATTTAATGAAACATGATAATAGATTTAATATTTTTTCACTTAATAAAAATGCTTTGAGTTCCCTGCAAACCAGCAGGGGGCGCTGACGTCCCACTGTTAGGAAACAGCTCATCTGATGAAAGGATACATGTTGGTTTTGGTTGCAATTAATTAATTATAGGGTCTAAAACCATGTCCATGTGTTATCTCATATTATTCACAAATGAAAAAGAAGTGAAACATTTCTGTCTAATTTCCTACAGATGTTCCGGCAGCTGGTGAGAAACAGGAGCACAGACGCAAACCTCATTCTGGAGAGATGTAAGATGAAGATAAAATCTTGGTTCAAATAGCAATAACATTAAAAGAAACACAAATAAACTGAATAGAACTGATTTGAAGCATTAAATATAACCCTGATTGCAGCGATAAACCGAGTGCAGCTGCTGGGGCGAGTCGGACAGGACCCTGTGATGAGACAAGTGGAGGGCCGGAACCCCGTCACCATCTTCTCACTGGCGACAAATGAGATGTGGCGCTCGGGGGACGGAGAGACAAGCTCAACAGGTAGAAAATAAATAATTCTCATATATGTTTATATTTCCTTTTGTTTTTTGTTTTTTTTTCGAAAAGCTTTCTAATATCTGTTTTCTAATGTTTAAGGTTTTAGAAAACCTTTGGTGCATATCCCTAATTCTATTGTAACTTGGTTCTTTTTTGTGCAGTAATAATTTTAGCCCCTAGGGGTCAGCAAAGTGCTTAAACTCATGACAGACGACAGCAGCTTTAGTCTAACAGCTGCTTTTTATCCAGAGCATCTTGTTGGTGTGTTGAACTGCAGTTTAGTGCTTTATTCATCACCCTCATTAGAAATGATAAAAGCAAGCGGCTTCTGAGCTTGACGTGACAAGATAATTTTTTTTTTTATTCTAAATCTGCCTTTGTGAATGTCAGAGACATGGTCGTGTCCTATGAGGTTCAGCTCATGTTCCCAATACAAATGTTTCATGTAGATACTGTTTGTCTCCAGGTGATGTCAGCCAGAAGACGACGTGGCACCGCGTCTCAGTGTTCAAACCGGGTCTGAGGGACGTCGCATACCAGTACGTCAAGAAAGGGTACGGACATGATTGACTAAATGGGAGCTATTTCCCCTCTCTTCAGTGAATGCTGGAGCTACGCCCCCACCTGTGACCCTATTTTTCACATTCTGGTTGACCAATCAGAGCCAGATTACATATTAATCTGTTTGGGAATTTGTTTGTCGTGGATTATCTCTACCAGGTCCAGGATTCTGGTGGAGGGAAAGCTGGACTATGGAGAATATGTAGACAAAAACCAAGTCAGACGTCAGGCCACCACCATCATCGCAGGTATTTAAATATAAAAGTAAAACCACTAAATGTTCATGCTAACCTCTTTTACAAACAACTCAAATGTCCTGTTTGTTTTTTCTTAGACAACATTGTTTTCCTGAGTGACAACATCAGAGACCGAACCTGAGCGACTCTCCTTCTTGCATCCAACTACGGGACAACTTCTAGTTTTACTTTTCTTCCTCGTACCAAAATAAGACTTAAGTACAAACAAAGTTAAATAACTTTTTAGTATGAAGAGGGGCTTTAGAAGTGATCATATTGGACTGTTGGGCCCTCTGCTGGTGGAAATGAAGGCGTTAAAGAGGAGAAGAAAGAAGATTGGTCAACAACACGTTTGATTGTTCTATATGTACATAGCAGCAGTTTAAAGCTGTAAATAAACACGGGCTGTTGTGTTTTACTTTTAAGGTTTTCACTTTACAAACGGTTGCCTGTGGGCTGTTTGTTAATCCATCTAAGCTGCTTCAAAGTTTTCTTCGGTTTAAAAAGCTGAACGATTCGTTTGGAGCAATATTTGTTTGTATTAAAGAACAGTATTTGATTTATATGTTTTCTTTTAAATTTTAAATATTGAAACAATTTTAACTGTTATTTTAAACACACAAATTACAAAGATACAGGAGCATCCATCCACAAGCTGGGAAAGCTCATACTTTTCATATGAAAAGCACGACTGGTCTGAATTCACTGTTTATGCTGTAGAATCACAAAAATATGCAAACATTCATGTTGACTTTCTGCAAGGAGAGTTAGCTAAAAAGACAAAGTATTTACTGAATGCTGCATCCAAACAAATTCCCAACAGAATTTGTTTTAAAGGTGATTCACAAGGCAGAAGGAATCAAAGCTTCAAGAACCACCATGGGCTGCAACTGTCACATTCCTTAGGTTAAGTCGCTCCTAAATCTGACATCGGAAGCATCCGAGCTGAATATTAAGAACAAATGAGGAGTGTTCCCCTTCAGTCTTTCCTCTTTGATGTTTTTACCATAACATTTAGGACCTATATGCTTAAGAATGTGCAGAGGCAACTTTTTGACCTCTGGAAAAGCTGTTTCTTCTCAGTTTGACCTCAAGCTTAAAAATCGGCTCTTTAATCTCGTTGGAGACGCATGGTTGCAGGTCATCTCTGCAGAGAACAGTGTAGCCGACTGAAACATTTCAGAGGCAAATTTAAAGGAAATGCCTTCAGGGTCAGTTTCATTGCTGCAGTGTTTTGTTTTTCCTGTTTGTAACTGAATTTAAACAGGCAATAGGTTCATTTTTTGCTCAATATGCTCTGTCACACTTTCAGTTACATCGCTGTCACTTCCTTCCTGAGCTGACTGGGTATTTTCCATCTACTTGTTTATTTCTTTATAATGATTAGTATTAGTGCTTGTTTTGAGTTTATTATTCTCTGACATCAGTTATGAGATACAATGCGTGTGATTTAATATGGAGAAAAATGTTTGATATATAAAAGAAAAATATATTTCTGATTTTTAATTTTTTCAATTGGAAAAACCAGTTTGGTACATAATTATTTCCTGATAAGTAAAACATACTTTCATCAGTCAGGGGCGGCCTTAACAGCAAGGTTGGCTTGGCTTTTAGTTATTGGTTGAAGGGATTTAAAGGCATCTTATTATTGTCTGGGCTACTTGTCATTTAAACCAATAGGCGGCCAGGATTGTGCTATGAAAGGTGCCGAAAAACAAAGGAGCCATCTGATTGGTTAGATGGTGATGGTGGGCGGGGTGTCTGCAGAAGGAAACCTGTGGAGTTACTTGGATTGGTAAAGCTCCAACAGACTAATACCAGAACGGAAATGAGAGAAATACATTACGTTAGTAAATAAAAGTACTTATTTTATACCATGTATATTAAAGTACATTTAATATATAAAATGTATTTTTATTATTTATTGAATTAATGCTGAATAATGGACCCTTGAAAAAAATATTCTGATTATTCTAACTGACCAGAATATGAATAGTCTAGTTTGATGTCAGTAAAGGAAAAGTAAAATATGTAAATATATACAGTGCTGTAGTTTAAACAAAAGGATGTTAATTTATATAAAATTAAAAATAATTTTAATTTGAAAGTGCATTAGAAACGTATTAAAAATATTTTTGTAGCTGATATTCTTGTTTGTTTTACTTTGAAAGGTCTAACAGGAAGCTCAACTTTGCTACAGCAAGACAATTTCAAAGTGCGTCACAAACAGCTGGAAAAGCTGATTCAGGGTATAGTTTATATTCATATGAAAGCATTTATTTGCTGTTTAAACTGCTCGGTTTCAGTCTGTTGGACATACGTAGGCTTTGTATAGATTTTTAACCTTTTTTTCCTTAAATCTTCGCGTTTTTCCTCCACTTCCGGTGCCAGACTCCTTGTCTCCGCCCACACATTCCTGCGTCTGGGTAAAATCGGTAGGAAAAGAAAAGGGAAAATCTAGCAGGCTGGAAACGCTGAGTGGATCTGGAAGCGGACAGGAGATGAGCCCAAACAATAACAACATTCCTCCGCCTGAAGCCGAACCCTGAGACAACAGCTGCTGCACAAACCAGCGCTCACTTCATTTTGCTGAATCACACAACTTGTTAACAACTTTTTTCGTTCTTTTTCTATACTTTTTGAGTTTTTAAAACTTTAAGCTCTGCTGTGGAAGCTAGATAGGGGGAAAAAAAGCAGGAAAGAAAGCATGGAGATCCTGGACAGCAGCGAGTCGCTGCTCCATTGGGACAGGAACCTGAGCGAGCTATCTGAGGCCGGGGAGCTGGACTCTGTGCTTTACACCAATGTAAGTCATCGATCAAAGCTATAGATCACTATAGATCAAATGGGAGGGGGAGGGAGGGTGCTGATTGGCTGCAGCTTCTCACTTTGATGAGGAGGGAATCATGATGCCCTGCTCTCCATCTGCAACTCTGAGCCTTGGGGTCCAGGGTGCAACAGGTTTCTGCTGCAGAAGTTTTCACTTCTTCAACTATCTAATGCTCATATACACATAATAATAAGTAGTTCTTGTCTAATTTAATTGCTTTTTGTTGGTTTGCATTTAAAAGCATGGGGATAATTTGAGCATTTAACTGTCATGTTTATCCATAGAGTGAAAGAAGCTTAAAATGGGAAAAAGCAATTGGACACAAAATGTCAACAAACAGTTTTCACACATTTTTACTATAACTTAATTAGGCGTTTTTTTCTTATTATTTGTATACAGCCCCATTACTTCTGGCAGCCAAAAAATGACATCAAATGCAGTCAGAAGTAACCTGTCGATTAAGTTAAAAAGCAGAAAGGAGAGGATGAATCTTTTTAAAGAAGTAAAGAAGCACTTTATAACTCTGCAGGAGCTGAGGAGAACCAAAACTTTTCTGGTCTCCATACAAGGTGCAACATATTTCAGAAATCAAACGCTAGTCATTATGTTGAAGCATCTCAGCAGGAAAGCAAGGTGAAGGCAGCATCATGCAGTGGGGATACTTGCCTGGGCAGGGATACTGGTCAAAATTGATGGGAAAATTGAGAAAAAGCAACCGTGGAGGAAAAGCTGTATGATGCTGCAGACTGAGGTTGAACTTGAGCAGAGCAAAGCTGGGACTGAATGCTAAAGCATGCTACATTTTACAGAGGTTTATCTTTAAAATTAACTGATAACTGTATTTATTTATATATTATTTCTTTGATCAAGCATATAAGCAAGATCTACAGATATAATAATTTATTTTATGTATTCAAAATTGCTTTATGATTGATTTAAACAGAATCTGTGGAATTAAAATAGGAATCAATGAAAATCAGATGTGCCAAAGTTGGATATCTCTAAGGAGATTAGTTCCTGCTTTTATTTCTAATCTTATTTTTCCCTTAGTGAGCAAAGAAATACTCCACATCATTACACCATTTCAAGTTCTCAGCTATTTACCTAAATGGGACACCAAAGCGAGTAATTTCTCTTTATAAATAACTTTTTTGGTATATTTGATTCCTATTGTTCAACATTTTTCAATCATGTTAAATAATAGGAAATAATTTTGGTTTGCAAGCAGTTCAAGGATAAAAATCTTAATTATCTGGGCAGCAAATATAGCATTACTGTGGATTATATTTGTTCTACTAATATCCATAATTTAAAAATGATAAATATATAAAATTTCTAGGTAATTCTACGTAGTTTTTATTTTATGCACCTAAAAGTCCAGCCCTTTTTCTTTTTTTTAAACTTGGTTCCTATCTATTTTTTTGTATCTCCTCATGTTCAGGTTTTATGAACAGCTGATATCATTAGAGGGCAGAATAAACGAGGAGATAAGGACGGTTCCTCCTGTCTGTAAGCTGAGCTCTGCATTTAAAGGTGCACGGTTATATAACTGGAAGTCAGTCTTCCAGCAGTTTTTCTCCTGTGGGCCAGAAGGAGAGAACGGAGGAGCTTTGTGTGTGTGGAGGGTTTCTCAAAGTGTAAGAACAGCTGGCCAAAGACGGAAATCAGACACCGAGGAGGCTGAGTCAGCCTCAGACTCCCGCTGACTGGTTTTTCCATCCCATCCGAGGACATCGCTGATTATTCTCACTTTCCCCAAACATGTCTTCCTTCTAGATCTTTTACTTATGCCTAATGAAGGTTTGCTTTCCTGAGAGCAGCTTATTGTCTCCATATGAGGCACGCGTTTGCTTCCCTCAGACGGGTGAAAACTTGTTGCTGTTAAAGTTTTTTCTTCTTTTTTTTTGGGCTGCTTTAACCTGAGGCCACAGAGACCTGCGGGAGCTTTCCCCAAATAAGACCAAAGGAACGGCTGCAAGATAACGAGCCTGAGCTGCTTTCAGCGACAGGCCTGTTTTAACTAGAAGCTGTGTTCATCATCTATCCATAAGGTGGACTTTTAAAAGAAAATGACTCAATCATTATGAATCAAATTGCTAAATTTCTAAATAAGTGACGCTACTTAGATATTCATCCATGTCTAAACATGCAGCTCTCCAGCTTTCTATACAAGAATTTAGAGGTAGTTGCTTTTTATGATAACCATCACCTGCCTGAGCAGCCTCACAGCATGATGCTGCCACCACCATGCTTTATAATCAGCTTTTTCTTTACATTTTAAAGCCTTTAGATTAACTCTCACCCTGTTGGTTGAAAATATCAGTTGTGTCCAGTTTGTGGGAAAGTGGGTTCCCTTTAACAGAGACGATGATGTTCCAGCTGTTTTCACCAAACGCTGGACTGCTGGATTCCTCTTGAATGCAAATTAAATTTCCTTTCTTTCAAAAGTGTTAGTTTTGGCCGTATAATTCAAACTTGGTCAGTTTTATTTATAGATATTGTGTGCGTTTTCAACTTTCCGACGCTTTTAAAGTCAGTTTTAGTGACTTTAACAGTAAAAGTTCTCTTACTGTTGAAAAGTAATTCATGGGTGGGTGGTGCTGTATAGACGAGCATTATGGGTTCTCTATATATAGAGTAACATCAACAGTTTGTGTTTGTATGGAGGCAACAAGACTGTAGTGTTTGAATGTGAGGCAGCCTGAGGAGCAGACTGAGGTCTTTGTTCCTCCCCCGGTGGTGGCCCGGCTCCTTATTTCCCCCTCTCCCCGGCGCAGGGGTGGGGGAGTCGAGACAGGATTCCTCACAGCAGCGTGAACCTGAACCAGCAGCGACGTCAGCGGCGACATTTCTCAGTAGTTTAAACGTTGATCCAGTCGCCGCTGCGCAGGATGCCTCTTAGACCATCAGGTTGTTCAGGTTTTACAATATGGAGGCGTTATTTGGTCTTTCATGTGCAGCTTTGGGCCGCATTCTTTTGTTGAATCACAACAGGTATCGCCAGCTTGTGACGCGTTTGTCTTCTGATTGAATCTGGGAAAACATCCGCAACAATGAGCATAAATGTAGCTTTTATAGGTAAGGATAACACACTGGAATCATGCCATCTATTTCAGTGGAATCTATCATAACTCTTAATAAATTTAAAACAAATATGGCTGCTAGATGTGAGTATAAGCCGGTTAATGTCTACATGTGGGGCCCATATGGTCAGAAAATGAACTGAAAGATGGCTCACAGATAGAAGTGTCTCCAGATTATATTTTAGCCAACCGTCTTTGAAAATGTGGGACCAAAATGAATCCAACATTTCCATATGGTTCTCCTAAAAGTGAGAAAAGGGGTCTGCAACCTTTTATATCCAAAGAGCAATCTCGCCCTGACTTTTCAATAATTTTTGTTAAATACCTGCATTAGGAAGTCTTTTGCCGTCTAAAACAACCGTTTATTCGCATTTTTAGTGTTTAAAACGATTAAAAACAAAACCATTCATAAAGATGAAGCATGAATTTTCTTCAGTATTCGATTTAAAATAACATGATGATAATAAAAAACATAGTTCTCGTGCAAATTAAAAGAAAATAGCTCTAAAAACATATTTCTAGTTCTTTTAGCCTGCGAAAATTCGATTCAAATATCCTTCATAAAAACTACCAAGGCTTCTAAGGCCCCGTCCACACGAAGTCAAAACGAACACGAAACGCTGATATTTTCCAAAACGTTTGCTGTAAAGACGGAGACGTAAAATAAATGTGCTCGTCCACACGAATGCATGAAAACGCTGCAAAATGTATGCCAGGCCTGTAAGTGGCGCTGTGGTGCCAAAGCAAAAATAAGCGACGAAATGTTGGGCATGCGCACTAATATTTATACATGGTTGCCCTGCGGGTCCATTTTCGTGGTTAAGTCAAATTCAGGTGCTGAACTATGTCGTCGATATTGCTCTGTTCTTCCTGGAGATATTCCAGAAGAAGAAGATTCTGTTGTAAGCCCGACAGCAGGGTGAGTAGCATTAGCAGCAACGGCGCCATTGTTGTTGTGATACTGGTCGCGCATGCGTGTTTAGAGGCGACGCTATGACGCATGCGTGTAAAAAAAAATATGCGGTTAGAGCGTAAAGATGGAAACGCGAAAATGGCGTTTCGAAATCTTCCCACTCTGAAGGCTGAATAAAAAAAAGATCGTTTACAGACCCCCGAAACGCCGGCTTCGTGTGGATGAGAGGCTGGTTTGGTGAAAAATTTGTGCGTTTAGGCCAGGGTTCAGCTTCGTGTGGACGGGGCCTTAGGTTGGTATTTGTTATTATTGTTCATTAGTTAGATTGCAGCGGTTCCAAGGAACATTATGTGGCTCCTGACCGCTTATTTACGATAAGGGCTATAAATAATAATCGTTTTGTATCGATGCATCAATCCAACAGCAGACGATCGGATGCATCGACACGTCTGCAAAAGTATTGATTCATATTTTTTTTTTTTTTCCTCCGGTCTATTTTTATCCACTTGCTCCTGGACGTAATTCTGACTCCCGTGCTGCGGTGGCGCTAAACCTATTTATCTCCTACCTGGCTTCCTTTTAGCCTCGTGAGACCATCCTGATCTCGCGAGCTTTCAAGATTTCACTCGCTAATCAGTCTGGAGACTCTCCGTTGAAGAAAATTTGGAGCCGTTCACCAAATGAACGTCCAATCAGCGTTGGCTTTGAGGCGGGTTGAGGTGTGACGCAATGAGAAGCCGATGAAACTAGTGTTAGCGTGGCTATCGAGCAATTTTTATCGGAATTACACTGTATTTCTTCACTGAAAGAAGAGCAAAACACTGCTCTGGAGGCTTTTCTCAGAGGAAAAGATGTTTTTGCTCTTCTCCCGACTGGTTTCGGTTTTGATCTATCAATTGGCTCCTCTTCATCGTCGCTCTGTTACATCATATGCTTCGCGGATCTGATTGGTTTATTTGGCCCGTCTATCACCAACATAG